GAGGCATAAGAATTGTTTGAACTCGGGAGGTGGAGGTTGCAGTGAGCTGAGATCACAGGACTGCCCTCCACCCTGGGTGACAGAGTGAGACTCTGTCTTTAAAAAAAAAAAGGAAAGAAAGAATAGGTATTTATTACTTGAAATTATATTGTGAGATTTGCATAGTAATAGTTTGGAAACTGATGCTGTAACTCAAAGGGCTTCTTGATGTCTGGCAATTTACCATATGCTTTTTGAGTGTCAGTTTTAAGGCTGAATTTTACAGCTGATAGCTTTAAAGTTTCTTTCTGCAGTTTGTAAGATTTAAGTCAGAATCTTATCCAGAGGTTTAAAAATACTTGCCTGTCTTTCTAAATATGAGGAATGTGTTAATTTACTGAGTGACCCCTTGAACACCATTTGTTTGCATTAACCATGTAAATCAGATGATCAACTCTATAGAGTAAAAGGTAAAGGGACATTTTCAGTTACCATTGGCATCTACATTTATGCAAACTGGGAATCTACCCACTAGAAAAGAGAACTGGCTGACCTTTTCAAGAATGAAGGGTATATTCTGTCAAGGGAAATATCCTGTGTTTGTCCAGTCTAGAGAAGAAAAAGTAATCCTAAAATGTTAAACAGCTTCTGAAGTAGATGTTCTGATAATCCCAGATTACTTATTGAATTTTAAGGTAAATTCTGGAAAGAAATGACATTTATTTGTTCAAGGTTGGAACATGTGACTTGCTGTGTTTGTCTGGTCTAAAATGTAAGTATGTTTTCTTAATTTAGCAGCAACCAATAATTTCAAAACTACTGTTCCCCTCATGAGTGGCTGCACACAGCCACAGTTTCTGTGCTCTTTTCCTTGGAATTATTTTAAAAATGTCCTTTAAGCTTCAGATGAAGCTTCCTCCCTACTTTTGTTTGTAACTTTTTCTTGAGTCAAAACAAGAGAAGCAAAATTATCCCCTGCAGTATCAATTGCTTGAGTGGAAGCCCTGCTCATAAATGAGAGGATGAGATGTGACCCAATAAAAGAATCTATTTTAATTTTAATTTATTTCCTGGTGGCCTTTTATGCCTCCTTAGGCAATGACCTAACCAATTCTATCTTAACACTGATTTTCTTCTTCCAAGGTCAAAAAGCACTTCGGAATTATTGTAAGAAGAAAAAAGAATGTCCTTTGCCTGTAACGTAAAGTCCATCTCTTTGTAGGAAATTTAAATCCTACTTTCTCAGCTTCACAATAATTCTTTTCTCATGAGACATCTATTAGCAAACTAAATGAGAACACGATGAAGGAAGAAGACCTTTTAGGCTTCTGAAGTTGAATTTTTGATAGAAAGGCCATCTCTTATAGCCTCCTTCACCCGTTTTCTTTCTCAGATGGGAGTCTTTAACATTGCGGCGAGAGGAGTTATCTTCATTTGGTGCTGCTCTTTCACACAGCCGAATGCAATCAAAGTAGAAGCTGTCCTAGAAGGCCTATGGTTTTTTTTGTTTTGTTTTGTTTTTTGTTTTTTTTTTTTTTGAGACGGAGTTTCGCTCTTGTTACCCAGGCTGGAGTGCAATGGCGCGATCTCGGCTCACCGCAACCTCCGCCTTCTGGGTTCAGGCAATTCTCCTGCCTCAGCTTCCTGAGTAGCTGGGATTACAGGCACGCGCCACCATGCCCAGCTAATTTTTTGTATTTTTAGTAGAGACGGGGTTTCACCATGTTGACCAGGATGGTCTTGATCTCTTGACCTCATGATCCACCCGCCTCGGCCTCCCACAGTGCTGGGATTACAGGCTTGAGCTACCGCGCCCAGCAGGCCTATGGTTTTTGATGCTGGAAAAGGAAAAGCTGTTACTATCACACACACAGCTTCACCACCATCCTCCTCTCCTCCTGCTCCTACCCACCTCAAAAAAAGAGTCCTGCCTGATATCTCTAAATCAAAGAACTTTCCATGGCCTGATTTGTGGAAGTTACCTAATGCTGTGTATAATTGGGGTGATTGGAGAGACGGGAAGATGTTCTCATTTTCACTAGGGGTGGCACTCAGAGACAGTATCATTTAGGATAATATGTTTTTATTGCCCTAAATTGCTTCACCTGAGATTCTGTTGAGGCGTTCCTCTTAGGTTAAATTTCTGATGAACAAAATGACCAATATGGGTGTCATTCTCACAGATTTTCCTAGTGCTTTACCTACTCTTTAGCGGTCAGTGAGTTCTTCCTCGTTCTGTCCCGGAATCTCACTTATAAGAAGAATTCTGAAGAGTTGGGTTAATTATGCTACTGAAACATAGAAGAGCCAACTTCTGACTTTCTGTGTATGACCGATCATCTACACACTGTATGTGATTCTTCTATTATTTTCAATAGCAAAGCCTCATCATAAAACTTTTCATATCGTGGCCAAGAGTGGTGGCCCATGCCTGTAATCCCAACACTTTGGGAGGCTGAGGTGGGTGGATCACCTGAAGTCAGGAGGGCGAGATCAGCCTGGCCAACATGATGAAACCCCAACTCTACTAAAAATGCAAAATCAGTGGGTGTGGTGGTGCATGCCTGTGATCCCAGCTACTTGGGAGGTTGAGGCAGGAGAATTGCTTGAACCTGGGAGGCGGAGGTAGCAGTTAGCCAAGATTGTGTCATTGCACTCCAGACTTGACAACAAGAATGAAACTCCATATTTAAAAAAAAAAAAAAAAAAAAAA